AATAAAATTCAAGTTTAAAGTAACAATAATGATAATAATAATAATAATAATAGTAATAATTAATGATGATAATAATAATATTTATTATTCTTATTAATGATATGAACAATAGAGTGCAATGGCGTAATTTATTACAAGTAAATGGAAACAACACTGTCCTGAAATGTAAGGCTGGAAACGCCCTCCCCCTTCCTGAGTAGTTTACTTGTGTCTTTTAGCGATGTCTATAGAGGCTTTGCACCATCAAGTGATAGCAACCATGACAGGAGGCAGGTTAATTGAATATGGTTTAATCTGATTTGCCCAAGAAATAATTCAGTTTCCCAGGGGAGAACGGACTCTATTGTTGTTTATGGCCTGCAAAGCGCCTATTTTCTATATATATCGTCAGTTACTATTGCAGTACTTTCAGGTTCGCAAAGGCACTTGGGATAGTCCTAAATCCTTCTTTGAAATCCACTATAGCTTATTGATTATAGGTCTTTTGCAATAGATTGGATGGTAAAGCAATTAGGACTTCCTTTATTTCAAAGATTTTTTTGCTGGATCACTATTGTGGTATCCAAAACCTTTTCAAAAATCATGGCTTTTTTCCTTTATAAGATACTTTCGATTTCAAGATACGAATCATTTTAAAGTTTGTTTGCCATCCAGCAGAGCCTTCCCCAAGGGACCTTGAGCTGAATTGATTCGTTATCAAAGTCATATATCAGCACGTGATCAGCACATGATCATTGTTGATATTTGCCTATAAACAATAGCTACGTGCATGTAGTAAATAGGCTTTATATTACTCTTTATTATATAAGTTATTTTACCTTCTTAAACCTTCTTCCAAACACACCTCCTTTCAAATGCTTGAACAGTCTCGGGACATAAGGCATGGCAAGAGACAGAGAAGGAAGTGCAAGACTTAAGGCCAAGTCCCACCCTTTCATGTAGCCTCTGTCGATTTCAAGCAAGCTAACTTCTTCTCCATTTGACTTTTTCTTTTTTATCATTTGCTGGAGAGAGATAATTATAGCAAAACTATAGAATGGGTAGGGTAGGGTAGGGTAGGGTAGGGTAGGGTAGGGTAGGGTAGGGTAGGGTGGGGTAGGGTAGGTAAGATAGGGTAGGGATACATACCTCAAGATTGTAAGTTTCATTGTTAATTATAAATTTAAATCGCGGATTCATAGCTTCGAAAACATAATTTTGCTCGTCCACCAGTCTCTCTATTTGCTCTGTAACGCTATTATGCATGAGGTAGCTGAAATTGGCACTGTCTCTCATGTTGTAAGCTGAAAATAAGTAGATTATGAGGTATTATAACGTAGCCACAGTAACGCGACTAGGATTGAATAATTTGCGCGCGTGAGCGTGCATTCAAAAATCGATGGTGCATGCTGACGTGTTTGAGTAGCGCGCGCTATGTAATGAAGATTTCGTTGGAACAAAATTTGAATTTTGTTTTGATCAACAAATGTTCTTTACGGTTTTGCTATGTCGGCTTCCCCTCGTGCGACTTTTACGCTTCCTCCGTGCTTAGCAACCTCTCGCTTGAACCCAAACCTCGATGGAAGCACGCTAATCAATGTCCAATCCTTTTTATAAAATAACTGTTCTAAATCTTGTGTTCTGATTGGATTGGAGCGCGTGCTTTATGAGTGCACACAGCACACTCGCGCACTTCCATTTTTGTCATTCCTGCAATTTGTATTTTATAGAAGAAATAAAAAACGTGCTTGCTGGGCCGTGTGGAGTTATAAAGCACTTGAGGATTGGCAGAACATTCGAGAAGTGTCCAGAAGCATTCCGCTACGCGTCGTGCTTCTCCTAACACTTCTCTCGTGTTGTGCCAACTCTTGCGTGTTTTATAACTGCACACAGCACGCGCGCGCAGTTTACTATAGACCCCTTGCACTGAGTCCCGACAGTAAACGTTCTGGAGGACAAAACAATTTTTTGCATAAGAAAAGACGGCTCACCGTTGTCTCCCAGAACAATTGCACTAGGATATCAAAGCAAGGGGTGTGTATATCAAATAGGGAACAATAGTTCGCAAAGGCAATAGCATTTTCAAGCATATCACCCACCGGTCAGGATATACGAGTCGATTTCAGAAGTGATGGCTTCATACTGGCCAACAAGACGTTCATGCTTTTCCCAAGATTCGTCGATAGTATATCTGTTTTGACCAGGAAGTTCCAGACCTTCACATCCATCAATGGCTAGTAAAACTGTTGTGGAGATACTAGCTATATCACTAAGTTTTTCAGCGCCTGAGGTGGTCTTTTTGATTCCTTTCCACCCCCATTTAGAAAAAAAAGACAATTTCCCTCGCTTCTGGGCATTGTTTGCTGAGAAACGAAAAGTAAACAGTTCTGAGCATTTATGTTGAGTTAGATGCGAATTCTAGGACAGTGGCGCACCCTTGAGTTAAAAAAAGTAAAAAGCTGAAACCAGTCATGTTTTTTGCCTGTTAACGAAATCAGGAATGAATGACAAGCAAACCATTTCCATCATTTCATACGGCATCCTCGTAAAGCAGGTTTTATTTTCCCTTGAGTAAATAGAGGATATTACTTGGGCGCGCGGAGATACGAAATTTATCTTCGAGTGTTGAAAAGATCTCTCACAAGTGGGCGCAGCTCACTTGTGAGAGATTTTCAACGCGAGAAGATAAATTTCGTATCTCCAAGCGGCCATGTAATATTCTGTTTATTATATAATTATCAATGAAGTATGTTTTGGCTTTTTCAGGCAATTATTTCCGCGTATTTTTGAATAGCCATTGCAATGGTGTTATTTTCACACGTGAAGATATCAATTTTTCGAAATAGAGAAAAATAGATATTTCATTGGTAATTATATGATAATACATTTTATTTTCATAACTATAAATATATATATAGTTTAGTGTAGTGTAGTGAGTGTAGAGTAGTTTAGTCTAGTAAGCTTAGTATATTCTTTGATAAAATTGTAATTAATTAGTGATATGATGTAATTTCTCCTGAAGGAAAACTGGCTTTTTTTTTTTTTTTTTGTCATTTGGAAGCTTTGAGGATCTAAGAGTTTGTATTAAGTGCAGTTGGATGTGGTGTGTATCTCGAGTTTCTGGTTTCAGGCAGTAGAAATAGGGAGATATCTTGTGACCGGCTTATCAGTTGCTAGTTGCATATTAATTGCCCCCCATTCAACTCCAAAAGGTCACGTGATTGATAGTAAGCAATAAGCCTTTTCATAGTTTAAGAATCGATTCCACTGCGCTTGCGATTTTATCCCGAATTTCTCACCTTCTTTTGTTTAATTAAGAACAAAAGAAGGTTTAAACAAAAGGTGAGAAATTCGTGACAAAATCGCATGCGCAGTGGAATCGATTCTTAAACTATGAAAAGGCTTATAGACGACTGGCACTAACAGGTCACGTGACCCTACCTACCTTTTGTAAAAATCAACTTTAGAAATGAAAAGAGCAGCTCAACATCAGTAAGAGGGCGAAGTTTCAGTTCTTAATTTTGACTATAGGATAAATGGCATTAAATATAAAATGGAATATTTACGACGATTTGTATGGGGAAATGTTCTGGCAGACCATCATTTTTATCCATACAAATCCTCATAAAATATTTAATGTTATATTCTAAGTCAAAGTGACTCTTTTAAAAGCAAGACTCTTTACTTATGGCGGTAGATGTGTGTCATAATTAACTTATTAGATTTTACATAGTCTTTTTATTTTGGGTACCATTTACATTGACGAATGGATAGTGACTTTTCGTATTCTGATACTCACTTTTCACATTCGGATAGTGACTTTTCGTATTCTGATACAGTCTTCACATTCGGATAGTGACTTTTCGTATTCTGATACAGTCTTCACATTCGGATAGTGACTTTTCGTATTCTGATACAGTCTTCACNTGATACAGTCTTCACATTCGGATAGTGACTTTTCGTATTCTGATACAGTCTTCACATTCGGATAGTGACTTTTCGTATTCTGATACAGTCTTCACTATCCGAATGTGAAGACTGTATCAGAATACGAAAAGTCACTATCCGAATGTGAAGACTGTATCAGAATACGAAAAGTCACTATCCATTCGTCAATGTAAATGGTACCCAAAATAAAAAGACTATGTAAAATCTAATAAGTTAATTATGACACACATCTACCTCCATATTTACTTAATCTCTAGGGACATTGAACTTGAATATGAATTCTCTACTTTCACATCCCCATA